TGCGTCATTTCCTGGTCAAAATGTTTGTCCTCAGTGCGCCTCATGTCCAAGGTAAACGCTGCCAGCAAGACCCCAATTGTTCCAGGAAAATTAAGTTTTCTTTCTTTTGTTGGTACCAAGGCTTGAACTTGGGGGTCTCACACCCCTGAGCAGTGCCTCCAGCCCTTTCAATGCTGGTTATTTTGAGACAGGGGCTTGCTTTACGCCTGGGCCCACTCTTGAACCTCAATCTTCCTACGCTTCACTTCTGACATCGGCTGGGCTGACAGGTGCACACCACTGCGACCAGCCAGACATTATCTCCCAGTCTGCGAAATGGCAGCGGTTTCAAGAGAGGATAATAGGAAGCTTAGAAAGTGCTCATTGGAAACTGCTCTCATGGTCAGTGGTCCTCCCCTGTCTCCCCACACTGCAGCTGGCCAGCTCACAGGCAACAAACATCCTGCAGTGCCCACTGGGCCCCCTCCCTCTGCAAACTCCGGGCACGCATGCCCCGTCCATCCCACGCCCAAATCCAGTGCTGGGCAGAACATCGGAGACCCCTTCCGGTCTGGTCCCATGTAACCACCATAGCCACCCACGCTCATGTGACCTGTGTGCTCACGTGACCTGTGTCCATCACATCCTCTGACGCTCAGCCACACAGCCTCCCCACCAGGGCCCCCCCTTCCCCACACTTCACCTTTTCACAGAGTAAGAGCTGAGGCCCCGACCGAAGCACATCTGTTTATCTGCTTCTTTTTTGGGTGATGTGAAAGTAGAGTGGAAAACAGCAGCAAATAAGCTGCATCAAGGGCTGGGCCAGGAGGAGCAGAGTGGCAGCTTTACTTCCAGCCACAGGGGATCTACCTGGGCCGAGGGCTGACAATGGAGGTGCTGCCACAAACTACCAGACACCAGGAATCTTTCCTGTTTGCTCTTCAAAAGCCACTGGAGAAAGAAGAGCAGAAGCAAGAGGCTTCTCTATAACTAACAGGACATAATTAACACCCTGACCATCCTCTCAGCCTTCGTTTCTGCGGGATCTAGAAGGTCCGGGAGGCCCAGGGGTCCTCAGCTCCAGGACTACTCCCTCTCCGCACTGCCTCTCCTTTCCTATGCTCTAGGCATCTCCAGCTTCCAGGGGAAAGCGCCCTGGTCACACCCCGACCTCCATACAGACACAGACTGGGAGGCAGGGGCCGCATACCTCCTTGCTGACTACACAACAAGACAAGACAACCAGGCAACAAACTGCCCCTCAATGTACTACCTAAAATGTGGTACCACAGAAACGGGCATCTACAAACCGCCCGAAGTTTAAGACAGAGCCTCAAACCTTCCCAATGCACAAAGGCTTCCTTTTTCAAGTACCTGACTACATGCATGTAGAGATAAGTCTTAAGCCAAGGAGGAAAACCCCCCAAAACCTAAAAGCATCTTGGTCTTAAGTGTGAATTTCCAAGTTAAGTAGCTAGTAGTAGTTCCTGTTCTTGAGCATACAGATCCTTCCTGTGGTGTGAGATAACACACAAGTTCTTAGACAACTTAAATCCTAGCACTTGTTGGAAATCACTTTCCAAATCCAGGTAGTAATGTTCTAGACCATCCCATGTCATATGGAAAATCCCCAGAGACCAGTGATGCTGGCCAACACACTGGGTTCTGGTGGGTAACATGTGCACATATCAGTAGTGCCAGATGAAGATAGGCAGCATCACAAAGCCAGGGGCAAAGTTCAGCTTTGTTCAGGGCACAAGATGGGCTCCACATGAAAATCCACATTTCCTACTTTGCAGATAAGATGACCCCTGGAACCAAGACACAAGGGCTAGAAGAGCAGCAGCCATCTTGTGGTTACAAAGCAGCCGCATAGCACTGTCAGAAACATGGGTCCAGGCCCCTCATTGGCAATCCTTCCCTTACCTATCTTGGAGCTTTCAGTACCTGAGAAAAAGAAAATGTCTATGTGGTTAAACACAATCACCCGATGTCTATTAGAGCCATAAACATTTAACAGATTAAGACTGACTTTTAAATAAATGCCAAGTAGCTGCAATATTAACCACCACCATGAAGCACAAAGCCCAGTTATGACATAACTGACTGCTCGACCGTGAACGCAGCACCAGCAGAAATCAGGTTCCTACAGACTCCTGGAAGCCAGTAGAAGACGTGAGCAAGACCATCGCCACCACCCTGCACACCGCAGAAATCTCTCCAGACCTCTGCTCCAGCCGTCCACACATCTGAGCCCTGGCATTGGTGTGTAGAATAAAAAGGGGAGTTTTTACCCAACCACATGTCCACAAAGGCAGTGACTGAACTGACACTGAAAACTACACAGTCTCACTCATTCCTCCATCACTGTGTACGTGAGCAGTGAGGCAAGAGTTTGTGGGAAACAGAAAATAAAAACTGCCTATAGTCTGAATAACAGAAGAGTTTGGGGGGTGGAGTTAAGTGATAGTGTAGTTAAGTAACCAAGTCATTCATCAGCTTTCACAGAAATGATGATGTGACATGCCACTGAAATTCTGTGAGGACAAGTTATTTTCAATTAATTTCAAGATCAATGGAAGAAATGCTACTTCTTGGACCAAAATAACCCAACAATTTAAAACTTTAAGTCTGAACACATAAAGAGGAAACTTTGTTGGCTGATATATCATTTTCTCACACCATTTTTTCACTTCACATCACATAAAAAAATTAATAGTGTTGGGACATCAAGTCTCGCCATAACACCCAACAGCTGCATTTCACTAAGTAAGTGATTTCATTAGTGAGCAAGAGAGATCACTGTGTGCTGTGCTAAGTGACTACTACACAACACACTCACTGGGTAATTTAGTTACAGGAATGGCCAATATCCAGTATAAACAACATACTAAAAGAGAAGGCTAGAGATGTGAGAACTGTGTTTTGTTTAAAAAAGTAACTTTATTCACCCTGACTTTGACACCTGCTGAGATATCAGATCCTTTTAACCAGGAGGTTTTAATCTAAGATTTTTTTTTATTAAGTAACTGTACAGAGTTTTCGATTCCCGAAGTCAGGTTATGAGTACAATGCATGTAGATCCATGTCACCGTTTCCATCACTCTCCCCTACTTCTCCCCTCCCATCCCTACCTAATCTGGAGTATTCTAAGAATACACTTCCCAAATAACAAGATGAGATATGAGTCAGAACACTGAGCTGGGCTTTGCAGTCCAAATCTCTCCCTGTATTATTCAAGTTCAGTGAACAGTTGCCTATTTTTACTCAGAAGTAAAGGACTAAAGCTAGACACAAGAATAGACCACCCCATAAATACTCAGGGCTCATTTACAATTTCTCTTGCTTTTCTACCAAGGGTCCAAGGCTAACTGAGGACTGAGCCTAACAGAACTCAGCACTCTCTTCCTCTCTACTCGAACTTCCTAACCTTACAGATTATCCCAACTCTACATTCTGATGATAGGCAGATTTTATATTTACTCCAGCTGACTCTCCCACTTACACCACTCAACAGCTGGGGCAAATGAGAACTCTGCAACCTGATAATACTTGAGGCCAATGCAAGCTCACTCTGTAGCCACAGAACTCCATCAGAAATGGAACCAAATAACCTCTCTGAAGTTCAAATGGGAACACAGAATGTTTTGAACAAAGCATGATTTCAGAAAAGGAGCAACTGCTCTCTCTGAAAGGATAGCAAGCTGACACTCCCTGCCCGAAGCCTACAATTCTTTTCTGATTAGATCAGGCGAATAAGCACTGGAGTGAAGTCATGGTATCAGACGCTGATGGGAAGTCATGGCTGGCTTCAAAACCCACCGGCAAACAATGAGTTTTCCAGGTCTCCAGCTTTCCCTGGAGTCACTGGCCAATGCATTTCCTTTCCTTTCCAAGACTAAATGAAACACAGAACATGGAGAAAGCCAGTGCAGATCAAGCCACAAAGAGAAGGAGAAAAATCCCTTCTGGTCTTTTCTGTGGCATCTCGAGCAAAACGTTTCAAGAAGTGCATGTGGGACCAGATTGCTGGTAGCCAGGCTAACGCGGGATTAGAAAGAAGTGTGGTGAGAAGTGCAATGGCCTTCAAGCTGTAACTTTCCCTTACTCACAAAGGCAGATAAAAGACAAGCCTTGAAACCAGTCTGCTGTCTCCAGGCTCCTCAGATCAACACTTGGGCTATTTCTGTCTTGTCATCCCAAACTGCCCACACACACGGATGTAAAACTTCTTATGACAAAAGAAGATCGTACAGCTGCGATTTTGTGAAGTGTAACAAGTCCACAGTGTGAGCTCTTTCGCCACAGATGTGCTTCTTCAGTAAGGTTTAGGGTTTAGACGATTGTGCTGCAGTATTTCTGGAGATGAGCGGAAACGAAAAGATGAAGGCAGGCTTCCATCCCGCACATGCACACGCTTGCTCACGCACACACACGCGCGCACACGCCTAAAATACCACACTGGCTGGTAGCGGTGTGACACACAATGGAGTCTCGGTACAAAGGAATCCAGGGGTGCTGCTGACCAAATTCGATGCGGGCCGCAGGACTTCCGGCTCTGGAAGGGGAGCCAGGCGCGGGGCGCGGGGTCTGGACTCAGCTGGGCGGTGGACGGGCTCGCCCGGGGACGAGAGGGGCGCGGCCCACGGAGAGCAAGTCCGCGGGCGGCGGCGCCCTGCGCGTCACGCGCGGGTGCGGGGTGCGGGGGCCCGGGCGCCGCCGGGCGGCTCCTACCCCGCGGGCGGCGCACCTGGTCCGCGGGGCCGCGCCTGACACGCCCTTCCCCGCGTCGGGCTCTCCCCACGCCCGCGCCGCCCCGCCCGGCCCCGACCCCCCGGCCCCCGGCCCCCCAACCCCCGGGCCTCAAGCCCCGGACCCCCGGCCCCGCCCGGCCCCCGGCCCCGACCCCCGGCCCCCGGCCCCGCCCGGTCCCCGGCCCCGACCCCGCCCGGCCCCGACCCCCGGCCCCGGCCCCGCCCGGCCCCGACCCCCGGCCCCGGCCCCGCCCGGCCCGCACGCACCCTTGTACCGCTCCAGCACGTCCTCGTAGGCCTGCAGGAACTCGCGCTCCTCGGCGGCCGGGTAGGCGGCGGGGCACAGGTAGCCCGCCATGCCGCCGCCGCGCGTCCCCGCCGCCGCCCGGCACCGTCTGGGCAGCGCGGAGGACGCGGCCGGGGCCGCCCAGGCCGGGGCGGGGCGGGCGGGGCCCGGTCAGCGGCGCGGACGCGCGGCGGAGGCGGCGGCGGGGACGCGCGGGCCCGGAGCGGCCGCGGCGCCCACCCGGGCGGAGCCTCCGCGCGGTGCCCGCTGAGGGCCGGGCCGGGGCCGCGGGCCGGGAGAGCGGCTGCGTCCGCCCGGGAGGCTGCGCGGCGTCTGCGGCATCGCCGGCCGCAGCGGACGCTCCCCGCGGGGAGGGGGGGAGGCGCGGGGAGGGGGGAGCCCGGCCTGCGCCCCTCGGCCCGCCCCACGCCCGAGGGTTTCTATTCGGGGCCTCCGACAGGTGCCCGGGAGCCGGCGCCGCGCGCGGCTCTCTGAGGGCGGCCGGGCGCGCGGAGGGGTCGCGGGGCGGCGAGGGCCGCGCTCGGACCCCGTGAGGGCCGGGGCTGCGGTCACGGGGGGCTGCGCCAGGCCCGGAGCCCAGCGTGGGGGCGGGGCGGGGCCCCGGGGGCGGGGCGGGGCGGGACTCACGGGGGTGTGGCTGGAGAGCGGGTGGGGCGGAGCATAGCCAAGGCCCGCCGCGGGGGCGGGGCCTATCGGGAGGGGCGGGCTTCGCGGGTGGGCGGGGCGGCCCGCATCCCGCACCTCCAGAGCCGCGGCTCCGCCGGCCGCCGCGCGCCGGTGTCCGGGCGGACTGGAGTCAGGCTGCGCCGGCGGCCTTCCTGACCAGGCCAGGTTCCTGGGCTCGCGGGGGGCGGGAGCGGGGGGACAAGTCCCGGCACCCGGGGAGGAAGCCGGGCCGGGCACGCGCCGGCGCACGCGCGCCACCGGCCGGGCCTGCAGACCCGCAGCTCCCCGTCACCCCCGCGGCCCCAGGCCGCCCTCCCCGGTCCTCCGCGAGCCTCTGACGTCAGCGTCACTGCCCACGAGCGCCGCGGGAGCGCGGGAGCTGCTGTGGAAATGGCCGAGGGCGACGCTGGGCGCGGGACGCGGCCCAGGGTGTGAAGCGCACGCGCGCGCCCCGCCAGGCAACGGCAGAGCCGCCGCCAGCGCACACCTGCTTTTCCTTCAGGATGGGCCCCAGACTGCGTCCGCTGGGCTGCGCGGCTGCAGCCTCGTCCCTGCAAGAGCACTGCCAAAGCACCATCAGCACCCCACAGCGAGCATGTTCCACAGACAGGCACACGTGTAACTGTGTGCGTGCATGCACGTGTCCCAGAGTATATGCGGATGGACAGGTGAGGTGAGACACACACCTGAGTCGCACACCTGTGACACAGATGACGGTCAGCCGCGTGACACCATGGCCAAGGACTGCAACTCTGATGTCACACAGAACCTTGGGGTGGCTCCCCACCAGGTCAGAGCCCAATCCACGGCCTCAGGTTGCAGGACACATGCCAACCCTTCCACATCCTAACACCTGTCAGCCTGGGCTGTGGCCTCTCTCACCGCTCTCAGCAAGCTCTTAGTCTCAGCTCCTGTGGCACTGCCTGGCAGAAACCTGTCAGGAGACCCCTTCTCCCTCTGGGCCCTGCCCCCCCCACCTCCAGGCTATTAGCTTCTTTGCTGGTGCTTTCAGAATTATGTGCCTGCAGCCGCCGCATTCTCCACCATGGCACTCATCACATTAAACTCAGACTTCTCAAGGGCAGGCCTGTGCTGTTCCTCGCTTTCCTGCAGGAGCTCGGGGAGGGAGCACTCATCAAGGTTTCCCACAGACCCGCTGGGCTTTCGGATTCAGGGGACATTTTCACAAACAACTCTCCTTCTGTGGGTTTCCAAACAAAGATGTTCCGCTCCCACCTGCACACACGGACACTGCGGCTGCCCACCCCACGTCCGAGCCGCCTCTCCACCTCTCAGAGGGGAAATTTCCAAGATGGGGGTGAGTTTCAAGGAGATCATAGAACAGAAATTAGAAGCAGAGGTCTTAATGGCATGATTTCAAACCATTCGCAGCCCTGGCTCCCCTCGGGGAACGGCCTCCTGCCATCTCGCTGGGCGGCCACGGGAGAGCTGAGCCACGGCAGGGGTTCACCGGACGCCTGTGCCGGAGCCCCAGGCCTACCCCACTAGAGGTATCGTTTATGACACACGAAGCCAACACTGAATCTCCAACACTTCTAATTTCCATATCATTCTTGTTTTTGTTCTGTTCTATTTTTGAAAAATAACTGTCATTTTAAAAGTAGGTGACTTTGAGGTTTCCATACAAACTCCGTGGACAGTTCACAGTGAATCACACACAGCCTCTGATTTCGCGACACCCACAGTCAGCGAGAACCACAGTTCTCCTGTTCTCCCCACCCAGTGCACAGTGCCCCCAGTTCTTCCATTCCATTCCCCCACCCAGTGCACCCCAGTTCTTCCATTCCCCCACCTGTGCATAGTGCACCCCAGTTCTTCTATTCTCCCCCACCCCATGCACAGTGCACCCCAGTTTTTCCATTCCCCCACCCTGTGCACCCTAGTTCATGTCACCTCACTCTGATGGACTAGTACCTATCCTTTCTTCACTCACAACTGTCATTCACACAAAGGGGACATGAACACCCTCCACAGACTCACAGAACAAGCATCCAGTCTTGATGCCCCAGGCTGAGTGCACAAGCACGCATGCAAGCATGTGCATGCACAGGCACGTGCGCGTGCGCACACACACACACACACACACACACACACACACACACACACACACGCCCCTTCCATCTACATTCCCTTCCTGCTGAGCCAAAGCCTGGCACAGACAGCGTCACCTCTCCCCTGAGCCTTGGGCCTGAGGGAGGCTCCAGCAGATACACACCGGCCTGAGTGACTAAACACTTTTGGCAGGAGTGGAGTGACCCACAGAGCCAAGGCTACGCTGGTCACTGTCCATCTCCACCCCCCTCCCGCCTCCCCTTCGTGCCCCACCCCTGCCTGCCTGGGTGAGGCCAGCAGCATCCACAGCAGGAGCAGAAGCCACCAAGGCTGCTGCCCCAGAAACCCAGACTGGAGAATGACTGTCTAGGCCCTGTGTGTTTTTCCCAGAATCAGAAAATCGCAGTGGGGGGGCCCTAGGGGGGTTCTCAGCTGCCATGGTGAAGGGAATCTGAACTGGAGGAGGAAAAAGCCTCCACTTTGCACCACTGTGGAAAGCAAAACAGGGAGGGGGGGTAAAGAAGGGGGGCAGAAAGTTGAGTAGAAACAGGAGTAGAAAAGGAGGCTTTGACCTCCAGGCTCAGGAGCACAGAAACAAACTCAAAGACACACCAGGCCCTTGCAAGGCCATGGCTGGGTGCGGCACATCCTTGCCTGCCCTGCTGCCATTCCCGAAAGCGAGGAGGGGAGGCGCTGTGGGAAGCAATGGTCAGGCGCGGAGCGCACGGCCGGCCTGGTACTGAGACTGGAGGCTGAGGTCTGGTGCTCTATTTCCACCTGGGTAAAGCCCTCGCTGCTCACTCGGCTTTCACAGGCAGTGCAAGGGAACACCAGGTCTCAGAGAACACAAACACGGAGCCCTCCTCGCATTAATTAATCAGGAAGCAAGATGGCTCACCCTCAGAGGCACAGGGGACCCAGGCTGCCCTGGACCCAGGAGGCTGATGGAGATGCTGTACACACATACACACACACACACACACACACACACACACACACACACACACACTCTAAAGGCATCCAAGTAGCTGAGCTATGCTCTGTCTTCCTGGGTACCAAAACATCCGTCAGTCTACTTGAGTTAGATCTGCATAGCACGGGGGGAGGGGAAGGTTAAGCATGATGAAGGCTGCACTCCCAAGGCCTCCAGAGAATGGGCATCTAGGGGTTAACACTTCCATGACGCCTCACCCCTACGCAGGCGTAAACAGCAAAGTTTAATGCAGATATCTGCAAACATTTCCTTGCGTGTTAGCTAGGTCGTCAGCTCATCCAACCAGAGGGCCCAACCCAACAGCCTCACCACCGCAGGCAGGCAAAGGGCTCTCCGGGTACATGCAAGCACCAAGTAAACACCCACTGGGCCCTGGCCTCCTGCGGCAGCTCCCAGATAGCCCAGGCCCCCGGGAGCAGCGTGGGTGTCCCCCGCCCCCGCCTCGGCCCCAGCCCCAGGGACTCACCTGCTATCCTGAGCACGGCCCGCTCCGCGGGGTCCAGCACGGAGCCCCCCTGAATCTTCCTTTTGGATCGCTCATGTTTAGGCAAATTCCAGGGCAAGGTGTCTCCGGGAGCTGGCGACGCGGAGCCAGATTTCTGGCTGAAATCTTCCTCGTCAGAAAAATCCGCAGAGGAGGACATGGAGCAGCGGTAGGACGCGTTCCCGGAGCTCTGGGGGATGACAGGGACACACGCATTAACCCACACCACGGCTCACCGTCACCCCACCCCCCAGCTCCTCCTCTCCCGCGTCTGGCACCCTGCGGCCGCGTCAGAAACTTGGGGACACACACACAAAGGAGAACACACTGAAGCCCAGGCTCACCATCTCTGCGAGGCCCAGTCTCCAACCGCAGACACAATGCCAGGCGGCTCCAACGCCTGGAGCTGTGCACAGAAGTGTGTGGCCTGCAGCCGGGCCAGCAGCTCACCGAGGACCGGCCCAACAATGAAGGCAGCATCACCAGCCTCCTCACCAATCCGCAGCCTGTGGCTCCCCCACCAGGCCAGGGAGAACGCTGGTGACCAGACTGCTGGTTAATTCATTAAAGCAACCAAGGCCAACTTTCAAAAACAAAGCACAAACGCAGGATGCCGGCCCGGTTCCTTCCCGTGGCAAGCCACCTCGCCCGGGAGCCTGCCTTGGGCCCGTTTCCAACCCGAGCTGGCTTTATTTAATTCTCTTCATGAGACTGAAGCAGGTTCCCAGAAAGGCTCCTACTGAGGGGGAAGGGCTGATTCTCAGAAGAGCCTTTTCTTAAGGCTGGAAAAACACAAAGGCTGCCTTCAGAAGCCAGAGGTAGGGCTGGTAAACA